TGTAACTTGTTTATGCTTTAACCTGCATAGCAAACAGCCAAGCATGTGGTTCTCAGATACAGAACATTTGCACTAAAGGTCACCTGGTGAAATTTGAGGGAAACCTAGGAACTTATACCGATCTGACTTCAAATTCAGACATTGCCCAGGCTGAGAAGGGAACTGTCTTTGAAAATCCTCCAGCTCTGGGTAATATGCTCCTTCCCCAGGTGTAAGACAAGTTCTTAGAGCTCTATGTGCCTGGGGCAAGATCCCATCCTCCCCCACCCTCTCCAATATTAACTACTACAAACCACTCTCATTCCCTGCACACCATATCACCGCCAAAGTCTCTTTATCACCTGGTTCCCAATTCCCCTAAGGCTCAACTGACATCATCCCCTGCTGTCTTCAGCTGCAAACACCATTTTACTTTACCCTCTGAATGAATGATCCATTATTAGCAAAATCTATGTTTTCAACCACTTTCCCAAATATTAACACTGCTTTCTTGCTTTAATAGAGAAACCCAGGTCTGCCAAGGGCTCATAGCTTCTCATCTCAAGTGCTGGCTGTTTTCTGTGCCATACCTTTCTAACACTGGTCCTCAAGGTGCTGCTGACATCTTCCTTCTATTTATCTGCTGTTTGGGGGCCACCTATATTTCACCCCATCATCATTGTATATTTTATGCCAATTTTTTTTCTTGCAAAAAGTAGGATGTAATCGTTATGTGAAATTTTTAAAAATTATGCCATTATTAAAAACCTTTATTACTAAACACTCTTTGATGTAAGATTGGGATGCACAGCAGATTCATGGATGTGCAGTACCATGGTCACAATTATGAAGTAAAATATGGCATTTTCTCTCCTTTATCCCTTAAAAATTCTCCACATTGATGCTCAATCCATTGGACACCTCCATTTAGTGCTACTTGTGCAGCCCTATACAGACTACTAGATCCTTCCTTTTACTCCTTGAAGACCTAAGCCCGTCTCACCATCACTCTAACACTACTTGTTAGAATCTTAGGTGTTTTTGTAAATGTTCAGTTGATACTCTGGTTTCTGTCAGAGATCCTAACTTGCATTTTAGTTTAGCCCCCCTTCTCTTATGACCATACTCCCAAAGTACTGGTTCTTAAAGTGTAACCCCCAGACCAACATGACCAGCATCATCTTCCATCTGTTGTAAATAGGCCCCACCTCAGGCTACTGAGCCCCAAACTCTGAGACTGAGGCTCAGAATCTAAGGCAATTCTGATGAATGTGCCAGCCCATCAGGTCTTATTGTCAGTACCAATCTCTTTCTGTGTGTCTCAATTTCAAGTATCCTCTCCATCCCTGCTGCCTTTCTTTGGTCTTCCTAGATCCCTGATCTACTCCCTCAATTCTTGAAATCCTTCAACCCCACCGATACTACTATTTAAGGATCCCGCTGCTTTGTTACTAGGTCTTACTCATCTTATGTCCTCAGTTTCCTCTAATCCAGCCACTATCTGACTACTTCTTGACACTTCTCTTTCAAATACCATATAGAAAGGGTCAACGAAGCCAGTCAGCTCCAGGTTCTTTATTATTCTTGAAACTGCCACTGCACCCATTCCAGTCCAAGAGCAGTATCTGCCAACTGGAATGACACAACTCTTCTCACTTTGTGATACTTGATTCTGTTGTGTCTAATTCCCACACAGCAGCCAGAGGGGTCCTTTGAACACCCAAGGCTATGTTGCTACATTGCTCAAAATTCACCATGCTTCTCTTCCTACCCAACAAAAAACCAAGTCCTTGGAAATGCCTCCAAATTCTGGGTGATCTGACCTTTCCCGGACAGAAAGTCCCTTTTATGTTTGCCTTCCTCCTTTCCTTTCTTCATTTTTCGTCCTTAGAAATTATGACCACGTGACATGCCCTAAATTCTGATTTGTTTCTGTTTCTTACTGTTACAATGGAAGCTTCATAAAGACAGAGGCTTTTCTGGTTCAACTGATTGGGCTCAGTTCCTGGGCTCCTGTGTGGTATGTAGCAGGCATGTAGTTATTTGTGAATGGATAAATGAATGAATATAGAAAGGATAAATATAGTTTGTTTTTATGATAACAACAATCCTTACTAGGACTACTTTTGCTTGAGAAATGAAGTAAAGTATTCTGACAAATTTTCTGGGTAAAACAAATGTCATCTGGATATTTTATCTGATCCTTGGTGGCGGGGGTTAGAGTAAGTTTCTCTTCCCTGTCATCTTAATAAAAGCAATTCTGGATTTATCTGCTTAGTTCCTCTTTCTTATAGGATGACAATATTATCTTCTTTTTTAAAGAGAGAGAGAGAGAGAGAGAGAGAGAGAGAGAGAGAGAGAGAGAGAGATATTTAATATTTAGTTTTTAGTTTTCGGTGGACACAACTTCTTTATTTTATTTGTATGTGGTGCTAAGGATCGAACCCAGCGCCCCCAGCATGCCAGGCGAACGAGCTACCGCTTGAGCCACATTCCCAGCCCGACAATATTATCTTGACAACAATTTTTTTTAACCTTGTCTAGAATCATACATTGCATTTATTTATCAGTGCAATGATAAACTCTCTTTAGTTTTCTTTAAAGAGAATAACAACTAATGACAAGGGACACAGTTTAAGAGTAATACATAAATATTTTGTCCCCAATGATCATCACAGGATGGTTTTAGCATCCATTACTTGCTTCCTGTCTCAATTGGTTATTACTCTAATGACTTAAAATAGTGATTTTTCTCTTCCTTTACAATGTATTGCATATTACTAATTATTCTACAAAACAGCTTTTCCATTTTTGCCCTTTATTTGTTTGATGTGAGAGTTACTCCTGGAATTGGGTGGTCAAGAAATTCAATGTCTGAAGTGGAATAAAGGGGAGGGAGGGGAAACGGGAATAGGAAAGGCAGTAAAATGAATTGGAAATTACTTTCATGTGTTCACAAATGAATACATGACCAGTGTAACTCCACATGATATAAGAAATAGTTCTTGGGAGCCAAGAACCGAGAGGACTGAATTCAGTTGGTGATTAGTAGAGGCTTCAGTGAGGAAGTGGCATTTGGAACAAGCTTTGAAAGATTTTGATTAAAAATAGGAATGGGGTAGAATGGAAAGGGTAACATCTAAGGGAAGCCCTAGTAGACTTGGTATTTGATGAAAAATACAGTGGGTCTGGACCATGATAAGGAAATTAAAATGAAACATAGAAACCCTTTAGATTAACTTAACTTCATGCATTTGCTCAGGCCAGTCTCATTGCCTAGAATTTCTACCTTTTCCCTTTTGCTGAGGAATGGGATGAAAGGTAATAAAGGAAGGAATTCTAGGCTGTAGAAACTGCATGAGCCAAAGCCCCACTCAATACTCCTTTCTTCTGGAAACCTTTTCCAGATGCCTAATGAGAACTATGAATCTTGCTCTCACACAGGCCCACCGTACGCATGCCGTTCTGTTAGCAGTCAATACTGTCTTGAGCTGTTTGCATTTGTGGATATGTCTTCTTCCTCTGAAGAGTGAACCAGGTCTTAATCACCTTCCCCATCTCCCCAGAATGGATGCTCAGTGTTTTTTGAATATGCCTGAGAGAGAAAGGAAAAGAGAAAGGTTGGGATTGGGGAAAAGAGGACTCAAAGGACTGTTTTAAGGGTTTGGTGTGCTCTGCAGGCTGTGATGAGCTGTGTCAGCTTTTGCCCTGTGAGGCACTGATCAGAGCTGTGATGCTGAAGGATGCAGCGAGGGGAGAATAGCCAGGGTGCCCGTGCTGTGACCCCTGAACTAGAGGATGGCAGTGAGAAAGTGCAGAAGGCATGAAAGCAAGTAGTTCCCTGTGAATCTGAGCACTCATTCGAATGCAGGAACTTGGAAAAGAAAGTGAGAGTGGTTTTGAGGTTTTCAGCCTAGGTGAATGGAAGCCTGACAGAGGCTTCCTATCACAGTAGAGGCCCTGGGCAGTTTTATGGAAATGTTTAAGAAGTTCAGCATAGCTCTATCTAGTTTTTCCTCTCAAATGCTCCCTAAACTCAAAACAATATGTGCTGTCAAAAGATTTTTATTTTATCAAATATAACTAATAAAATATTATTCTACTTGAGGTAGGAAGCACTAACTTTGCATTTGTGATAGATATTTTTCCCTTCTTTTTATTAAAACCGGATGTTAATAACTGCTTTTGCAGCCTTGAATCATGGCCCTCTGAGAACAGCTTACCATCAAAGAAACGGTTGTCAGCTTTCTTTTGGCTCCTGCCCCTTCCTAACAACAGAAAATTTGCTTTGCACCTGCTCCAACTGGGTTCTCAGTGATAAGCATCTTGCAAGCCCAGAAAATTGTAGTATCAAATCTCAGCCCCAACTGTGAGGCAGCACCATCAGCGACTCCCCGCTGAGAGGCGTTGCTTTCCCAATTCCCTGGAGAAGATTTTTTTTCCTCCCTTGGCTGCTTTTTGGGCTTGAACTCTGACCTAAACCCCTCCTTTTAGCTACCAGTATGCAGTGCTGTGGGTGCCAACCATGTCCCATCTCTGCTCACCCTGCTCTGCCTGGGGCCCATCAGTAGGTCAGACGTTGGTAGCCCTGGGGTCACCAGGGCTACCCAATTCCAATAATGAGCATATTTATCTAAGGAGAGGAGATGTACCTTTCTCTTTGTTACAGTTCATCACTTTTCTCCAGGAAAAAAAATGCTAACATTTGATATCTGTGATTTGGTAAATGTACATAAACATTGCCTAATGTTCACAGAGTTGCATTTACTTACACCTTCCTTCATAGATTAAGTACTTTGTGATATCTCATGATGCATTTCAAGAGAAATAAACCTACTTTGTTATTAGGAAAACATAAATGTTTGAAGATAGTCATATCCAGGAATACACTTATAAGCATTTTGAATAAAAATAGCAAATACCATTTAGATATGTGTATAACATTCTAATGGACTTTAACATTGTCATTTTAAATGGAAGGAAACATTGTTGACAATCTAACTTTATCTTTTTCTTCTCAGGTTTTTCAAACAGGCCAAAATCATTAAAAATACTCCTTAACCCCCAAAGTCACAAAAAAGAAGCTACCCAGGTCTATTATGAGAAGGTGGAACCTCTGCTAAAGCTTGCAGGGATAAAGACTGATGTCACAAGTGAGTCACTGTCATTGTGGAATTTTATCATTGAAAATCTCACTTATGAAAGCCAGATAATCTGAATTTGTTTTTAATCCAAACTTGCAGAGCTGTTTGTAATATCTAAAGCTTTTGAAGTTGTTCCTATAACACTGGTCAGTTCCAGAAGTATAAGTGGTTATGTTTCCTTATTTATTGAGCTATTTTTATTAAGATATCAATGTCTTCTCTTTAGAATGTTTCCAGCCTTCCAACAATTATTAGGATTGATTTTAAAGAAAACTGTATACTTTTTGTTGTCTTCAATGAGACGTTTACTATTTATACATGATTTCTGCAGTTTGGCAAGCAATTGATTTTTGCTCCCTTCTATAGCTGATGTCTTTCCATGGAATCTTTCGGTAGGTTGTTTTTGTTCTGACTCTGACCCCTGCTGGTTAGGTCAAAACTAAGCAAGTAGTTGCTGGTTTTAGTCAAACTTGGAGAAACCAGAAGCTTAAATTCATTGTCTAAAATAAGAATGTTCTCTTAGCTTTATACTAAGGGAAATAGAAATTTTCTAATGTTAAAATTAATAGAAAGGAGATTAGTAATACTCTTCGAGTTTTTATAGGTGATGACCAAATTCTTTTGTTTCCTTAAGACTCGAATTTTTTCTACCGCTGGAGCCTGAGAATAAGTGTTTGATACTATCAAGAATCACAATTTTTTCTAGCTTTATTTCTGTGTAGCTTCATTAACACAATGGAAATTTGCAATAATTTTTTATTGATGAAGAATATTGCACAATAAACCTCCCAAGAGATAAGCCCAGAGCACAATTGGAGTCTCCTACTCCTAATTCTGAGTTCCTGGGGAAGGGATTCAGAATGACAGGGCTGTGCTCAGCTGTAACCAAGGGAGATGGGTTGCACGATGTAAATAAGATCAGTGAAGCCCAGTGACTTGATGGATTGGGTAGAAGGAAGTTCGTGAAAAGGGGCAAACTTTGGGGGAAGTTCAGTCACCCCAGAAAACATCTGCTTCAATGGAGGTTAAAGAGAAACTGTCATGAAAACCTGGAGTGGAAAATTTCTGAATTAAAGTTGTCATAAAAGTTAACCTTTTGTGTTTGTGATTTGAGGCTCACTTAGAAATGATATATGAGGAAAAGAGAAAATTCAGAGATCTATCCTTTTTACTGAAAAATTTTCAGGTATTAGACAAAAGAAAAATTTGAAGATTCCAACTGGAATGAGACTGTATTAAAAGTTGAGTAAACTCATTATTAACTCAATAACATTATCTTGTATGTTTCTATGTGAACACTAAAATACAATCTGACATGGATATTACATACAGTTCAAGAATCTCTCATTGAGGGTGCACATCCACAGTCAAGATGCTCAGAAGTCTAAGGCAGGAGGATCACTTGAACCCAGGAGTTCAAGTTCAGCCTGGGCAACATAGACTTCATCTCAGAAAACAACAACAACAAAATCTCTCATTGAATGTTTGCTCTGTGTTAAACACTGAAAGATGTAAGAGAAATAAAGCTGTCATGTCCCTTCTTGAGTTATTCTTATAGGGATTCAAAAAGACAATTAAAACCAGATATTATAATTGTGGTATATATAAGAGAACTATAGTATCTCAGGGTGATATTAATTTTGATCAGAGAACTCAAGAAAATCATGTTCACTAGACAGCTCTTGAGAGACAAAGGAGGCAAAAAGTGTAGAAAGGGAAGGCAGGGGAGAGAGAGAACATGTTTTATAAGTTTGCTCTACCTTCCTAGTTTTGATCTTAAATCTAGTTCTTTCCACCATCCTAAAATAACTGCCAGTGAATTGGATCTTTTCTTATTCATACCTCTCAGGATAGGGAGAAGTAAGTGTACGTGAGAGAGGGAGACCCAACATGCTTCAATCCTAAAGATGGATTAACACGTCTTTCTTCAGGGTTGGTTGAACTAATATAGTATCTGCACCCAACCTGGAACACTCATTCTTCTAACTATCAAGACTCTCGCAGGGACTAAGTGTAGACTTTTCCAAAAGACTGCTGATGACTAAAGGGAATTTGGGTTCTTCTGGGGAAACACAAGGCATGATGGCTCCTGGGAAGACTCCCAACCATGTGTCCCATGGGAGGCTAGTCCAGACTGTGACTGGGTCGGGGTGCTACAGTTGGTGGTTTGTTCACGCATCCATCCACATTTGGTATCAAGTGTCTTTAATCACAGAGTTGTAATCAGGTTTGCCAATGATGACTCCACTAGCAGAATAAAGATTAGAAAGGAAAAGAGCTCTGGGAGAAAAGGAAACCAGTATGTGAAGTCTGAACCAAGGCAGAGGAAATAAAAGGAATGTGCTTCTTACCAGTTGTATTGGAGAGAATATACCATGTTCTGTTTTTTTCTCCCTTAAAAATTTCAAAGTATTGCCAAACATTAAATTCAGTTCAACACAAAATTAGATTTTTTGCATAATGGAAATTTAGAATTTATTTTTATATTCATATAGAATGTCTAATTATTAGCTGCCTAACACTCCTCCTACAGGCAAAATTATAAAATTGCATCCTTTGCTTATTAAGCCATGTTAGCATGAATATTGGCTAAATATTTACATAAAAATTATTCCTATTTTGTTAAGTCTTCCTACCTTAAAATGTTATTTGGTAGAACTACTTTATGTATTATAAAATGCTATAGAAATAATGGTTGCAAGATTATTAGTTTCATTTTCATAAAATTGTGTAATATTTAATTCACTTTATTTGAAAGAAAAACATATGAAAAGTAATGTAAAAGAATGCATATCTTCATGTTCATTGTTTTAACATATCCTTTTGGGGCACTGGTAAATCCAAATGGAATATTAATTAACATTAAAAAATTTTTGTATGGTAATTAATTCATAAAGAAATAGTACTATATAAATAGGTGGCATGGTTAGAAAAATTGCTGCTAGATATATACATTAAAAAGTCTTTTTTTCCCATAAATTTCTTTTTGAAATGAATCTCATCGCATTAATAAAAATATACTTATTCCTTTTATTTTGACTTATGCTGAAACCCTAAATACTTCTGAATATAGATGGACGTCTTTTGAAATATTCGAGTGAAAATGATCCCCCCTCCCCGATACCCCATATCCCCAATGTAGTATCTTATCTAATAACAGCTGAGGTGTCGTGAGCTATAGGAGAATCCACAGAACAATACAGTGCATAAGTCAAGGCAGCAGAAAAAACCAAGAGTAAAGAAAACTATAGCGGCCACACAGCTCAGCTTCCCCATGTAGTGGAGTGCAGGTGTGTGGCACTTCTTGTGGATTATGATTTAGCTTGACTTTGTACCCTATGTTAAAGTCAGAGTATACTGTTACTGGACAGTTTTGTTTGATGTTCTTGTGTTCACATATACTGTGCCTTTGAATGCAGTAGAAAAGCCACTCCTCTGAACTGACTTACTAAAAGGTACTCTTTTTTTTTTTTTTTTTTTTTTTCTGGGCTAATTTAGCCCACATTCACCTGGCTTGTCCATTAGGAGCACTGACTGTGTTGCAAGTCACCTGCCTCTACAGCCATGTTCCCTTGTTGGAGGTGTAAACTGCACACTGCACACCATGGGGAACTTGAGAGCTGACATCCCCCTCCTTCTATCATCTACTAGAGTTAATGTTATCTTTTGCAGCATAATTATATCCTACCTGCTGTATAAGTGTCATTGAAATATAAGACAGATATCTGTCTGCCCTTGATCTCTCTCGTTCTTGACAGGCACATCCATCTTCTTCACTCTGTATTAACAGATGACAGAACTTATTGTGGTCAAGTCACTTCTCTGACTGCAAACATGACCTCTGCCAGCTCAGTGCCCATGGGAGTGTCTGGCCTCAGATAATTTTACCTCTTGGAAAGAATTGTCCAGAAAGTGGCTAAGAGGTGTTCCCTTTTCTTCACCTCTCTTCCTTCCTACCCTCCTTTCTTTCTCTCATTTTCTTCTTCTTTCTCCTTCTAGCATCATGCTTCTAACCTTTAACCCTTTCACTGAGACTCTTTGTGTTGTTTCTCTTGGGCTCTTAATGACTGTACTTGAATCCTTTCATTCCTTGGAGATACCTCTTGTCATTCCTGATCACACATAGCAGAATGCTAAGCAGTCTGAAGAAACCGAGTTAAATAAAAGGTGCTAGAGGCCTGGAAACTTACTTCTTTTCCTTTGACCAGCATAATAAAAGTACACATAGTAGGTGTTCATGCACCATATCCAGCTAGAGAAAGAGAATTCTGAGTGAAAAGTTGTTCTTTATCAACTTAAATAACTGTGAGTGCATATGTCCAATCCTGTTTCTAACACTTGTGTGGGTTAGAAAGTTGGAAGTTTGAAATATGGAATATTTCAAATATTTGAAAATTTGGAATATAAAGAGTCATCAGTGACATTTATGCCATGAGTGATTTGATTAAAATATGTTCAGTGAGGCCATTATGACTAGAGTGGGACAGAAGTTAGACAGAAGAGGCTGTTGTAGTACACACATGAACTGATAATGCCCAGACTGACGGCATCAACTGTGAGGGAGAAGGGAGCATGGTTAAAAGACAGTGTTGGCCACGGAGTGGTCCAAGAGAGAGGAGGGATAACCAAGGAGGAGTTGTTTCCTGCCTTGGGGGTAGATGACAGGACACAAAAAGAATGGTATACTTAAGGAGGACATGTTGAGTTCACTTCTTAAGTGAGTTTGAAATACTTGTAGGACAGAAAAGACATTGACATCTCAGTATCCTATTCCACAATAGAATTTTATCTCCAGAACAAGAAATGTTTCCTGATGTCCATATCAGATCACATCTGATTTTATTTTCAAATTCAGTTTAAGAACTTGATGTCAACCTCAAGACACCACTCTCCTCTGTCTTCCTGTAGGAGTAATACCTACACTGAAGAAAACAGGTCCCAGTAGGGGACTGTGTTAAAAACCCAGTCAATTATGAAGACTCCAAATCCACATGTAAAAAGAGCCCAGAGTGCCAATAGGAAAGGGAAAGGATCTGAAAAAAAAAAAAAAGAGATTAGAATATATACATTTTTGAAATTTATTTTCCTAGCCATCTACTCTTTATGTTTATTTGGTGTGGAATGATTTGAATTCAGCTCTCTGATTCAACAGTCCATAACAGCCTGTCTAAACATAGATTTTTGTTCTTTTAACTTCAAATAGTAGTCCAAATCATGCATTATTCTTCCGCACTACATTTATTTTCTTTATAATCACTTATTTCTACTCCATATATTTGTTTTATAACTAGTGTATACTGTTTATCTCCAGAGTGTAAACTCCCTGAGGCCAAAGACTCTTCATTTTGTACCTTCTGCTTATATATTTTCTTGTAGTCAGCTTTCTTTGATTTTTAAAAAATTAGTCCAGATAAATTATTTTATTTAACTTATGCAATATCTCTTAAAACTTATTTTTAAAGAGGTTGCATGGTATATAGTCAGCTATCACCTGTAAGACCAAAGGAAATTATTTAAAATTGTTCCCAAACAAAAAATGACATATAACTATAACATAATTTTAGGCTAATTTTGTATTGGATTTGAATAGTGTTACCAAAAGTAAACTTGATAAACCGATTCATCACCAGACCAAGAAAGACTTGATAAACTGATTTTCAATATAAATATTTCTTCATAATATCCTTAATTATTTTTAATGTGTGTATGTCAGACATTATTTCCCATTGTTAGGTTTCAACTACTTACTGTGGTTATAAATGAATTATCAGCACACGTCTTTTATGATAACTTAACCTTCCAACTTTATTAATATTAATATTTTATATTTAGCTTTATTATAGTTTTCATCTGATTAGAATTTAATATAGAGAGGTTTTATTCATGTGAATGTTAGCAGCATTTTGAATAAGCTGTGGGAGAATTATAATGTAACACTGCTGGATACAGAATGATTCTCTTAGACACCAAGACTAATAATTTTTAACAATATCTAAAATCATCGCAGGAGAAGCTTGAACCATGCTGGCACCAGGGACAGACAGGCATGAAAGATTAATGTAATCTTGCTTATAATGATGCACATTCTTACACAAAAAATCCATCTGCAATGTCATGTCAGTCAGCAGAAATCTTTGATGGGTGGATACAGCTGGGCTGTCTCTTCTGGCAGAGCTCCCCTAGAAAATGCTAAATGTGGTTGTGATGCTTGGTGCCATCTGCAGTGTGCCCGTTTATCCTGTCTTCACTGGCATTTACAATACTGCACAGGGCATCAGTGACTGTGGAGACAGCGATACGGTGTGACAGACACATTTCCTTGGAGGATCCGGGCTCTGGTGGGCCTGTGTGCCACCCTCCTCCTGGACTGGGTCTCTTATCACTGGTGTTGGCTTGACTTCATATTTTCACATCCAACTCCTCCTTTTTTCAGTCTAGCAGTTCCAGATACACATTCTTCTGGTATGTAAATCTTACACTAACCTTTCAACTAATTTATTCATGTAAGGTTGCCAAAGTGATTTTACATTGACTGTTCAGTGCCAGCTAATATGCTGTATTTTCAAAATACTCCTGCTCATAAGCTTCTGATTTAAAGGAAATGTGTCTTATTTGGGGAACACTAAACAGACAGGCACCAAGATAAATTCTCTAACTACTCTGTGTTGGATATCACCAAATGACTTATGTAGTTGGAACAAATATGTGACCCTCTTTTGCATAAAGCTATAAAATACACCAGGCAACTAACATGTAAGCCTCTTTTCTATGATTAAAATATAAATATTCAAGAATAAGTGTTGTTTTATGACCCAACCATATGTTAATCATATTATTTTGCCAAACCAAGTTAAAAAAAGTGCAGAACATTATTTAAAGCTTTTATTTTTTGTGTGTGTGTGTGTTTTTTTTTTAATAGTAACGGAATATAAAGGACATGCTCTGTCCCTGCTTAAGGAATGTGAACTCCAGGGATTTGATGGGTATGTTATATTATTAATTTTAATATATATATATATATCATATAGCTTATGTTATTCCATACTTTTGTTAGGTTTTAGCTGCATACTTGGGACCCATAATTTTTAAACATTTCTGATATGTATGTATATATAAGCAGGCTCTATTTTACTCATATCTACATAAAAATTTATGGTGATATGTCATGGTCATTCCACCTCTCAGGATCTAGCATAGAAAAGCAAAAAGAAATCTCAAGTTTGAAAAAATCACAGTGTACTGCCCTATACTTATTTAATGTGCATACATTTGAATATATAATACTTAATTCTGTGCTTTTACCATGTGAGTATCTAGAAAAACATTGAAAGATGATATCATACTGATTATATGTTATTAGTGCTATGGCTCTCTCCTGTAAATTTATTAATAGTTTTAATATCTACCTAGTAATTTATTTTGCTATGACTGGTTGAGGTAAATATTTTGGAAAAACAAATAAATTATTTCCAGAATGATGTATTTCCAAGTTTCCAATGCATTGTGGGAGTATGCAGGGTTTCTCATTGGTATGTCAACCTTAGAAATATTAGAACATTGGAACAAGGCAAACAACACACACGTAATAGCCCTTTTTAAAAATCAGGTAAATTGATTTGCGAAAGTGTTAGATTGATGAATAAGACTAAAACATATTACTTCAGGGGAGAATTATTTATTTTTTACAGGAGGGACTATCTGAGAGTTTAAAAGGGTGGTGTGTGACTTAATTGTGTCACATTGTGATGAGCAGGGGTTGACAAAGGATCCACAAAGTCAGGAAAGGCAGTTGGGACTCCATTTTTATGAATGTGAAAGACTAATCTTCCTAAAGAAATGTTCATATTTGTAGAGGGAAGAGATGTGCTCAAAATGAAGCATTGACAGTGTTGTTTTCAGAAATGCTTAATATAGTTTGATGAGAAAACAAGCTGATGAAGAAGAAAGTTTGGTAAGTAAAATATGATTTAGCACAAAGACAGTGGAGAAGACTAAATCTAGATGGCAATATCACATAAGATCAAGAGTATGAGATAGGCAGTTACTTTAGAACTTTGTACTTAGAAGCAAACAGAAGGAGCAATAAGCTACATTTAGGAAATTTTCTTAAAAACTATTTAAGCTAATTATCTTTAAACTGTTTCTTAAAACAGTTTAAAGGAAAGTAATTGGGAGAATCATGCCCACCATCTCCCTCAATATGCTGCATAGTCCTAAGCCAGGAATACATGAGGGTAGCTGCATTACAAAAAGAGTCTTTACTTTAAAACTTGAATATGTGAATGATAAGAGTAACAGGTATCACAGATACTAACCCTGGAGTTGTCCACGAGTGACATGGAATATTCTGTCCAATGTGGTATCTATAAATGTGTTCTATTGGTATGGCAAGGATTAAGAAGAACTTTGCTGAATCTGAAGAAAAACTATTGCTCAAATGTGGTTTAGGAATATTTTTCTCTTTACATGAACATATTCAATTCTTTATTTCCCATGCAGTTTTGAATTGCGGTGCTAAGAGATACTTAGATCCTTAGTTATTACTTGTATATTCTTCAGCCAAAGGTGTTTGACCTGACCAATAAATGAAATGAGTTTGGTGATTTAACTATTTCCAAACCCTATAATATGCAAATACACTTTGGACTTATAATTTTTTACTGGAAATCTATGTTCCTAAATGCTTCAAATAGTTCATTTGTTTTCATGGGTTTAGTTTTTCCAGTAGGAGCTGGTGATCGGGATAATTATCTTAATAAAATGGTAATTTTTAAGTCCCCATACTTAGAAATATGTAGAGAGGTATATGGGGAGAAGAATAAAAACATAATTTCATTCACTATGCACTTCAAAAGGATTATTCTCTAGCAAGTAGAATTTTTTGAAATTGAGTGTTCTGCATTGGCGAGTTCCCTGTCCTTGACTGTGTTCTAAGAGTGGTCATAAAAGCACTTTTCAAACAATTTAGTTTAAGGATGGGATAAGGTAACCCAGGATGCTATTTCATTTTGATAGGAGATCAACTCACATTATCTTAAGAAATTTGCCCTGAAGCATCTCTGCCTTACTCTAGTGGAGCTATTGATAGGAAGTGATTAGGAAGTCAATAAATGGCTTCTAGACAGGCTAGAGAGAGCCAAGAAAAATTCAATGGATATTATCCTCAAAGGGAAATTGCATGGAAATGGAAGGAGACCCTCATTGTTATACAAAATTACATACAAGAGGAAGTGAGGGAAAGGGAAAAAAACAAGGGGGAGAAATGAATTACAGTAGATGGGGTAGAGAGAGAAGATGGGAGGGGAGGGGAGGGGAGGGGAGGGGGGATAGTAGAGGATAGGAAAGGCAGCAGAATACAACAGACACTAGTATGGCAATATGTAAAACAGTGGATGTGTAACGATGTGATTCTGCAATCTGTATATGGGGTAAAAATGGGAGTTCATAACCCACTTGAATCAAATGTGTGAAATATGTTATGTCAAGAACTATGTAATGTTTTGAACAACCAACAATAAAAATTAAAAAAAAATTCCTTCATAAAAGGAAAAAAAGAAAAATGATTTAATGAATAATGTTTAAGAAATGCTATTTCCCAAGATTTTAGGGTACTTTTAATGAGTTATATATATTTCTATGAAATTGTGACATGTTTCTAAAGCCCACAGAAACAGCACATCAGCATGCATGACAGCTAGTGCCCACTCTGGTGTGTTCTAGCAAACACTTAGATCCACTGCTAAAACTTGGAGGAACTTCATATTCCATATTGCCCGTGTTTGTTGGTCATGAAGAGGAAGTAATATCAACTGCACATACTTGGAGCACTAACAGTTACATTTACAAATGCGAATATACTTAAACCAATCTGTAGATTTTACAACCATGGAAAATTATAAATTTACTAAGTATTTACTATTTGTTTCAGTGTATTGAGTTTGTTGAATTAGTTTTTTTCTTTGGTTCCTTCTACTATTAACTAGACCCACATAATCTAGATTTTATTTGGCTAATGTTTACATTTTATCAGATCAACCATGATATCTGTACTACTTAAGTAGAAATACATCTTTCAGAAAAATGAAAAACATTGAATCAAAAACCAATACTATAATCAACATTTCAAAGATGTCAGTTGATAGATCAATTTATAAACTGCTATTTAAATTTTTTCCTTGTCACCATTTCAAAAGGGAAATAAAATATTAACCTTCAATTTTACTTTTCTAGACTAAATCATTCCACATGGAGCCATGGCAATAAGGAGTTTACTTACTCTAAAAACAAGAAGATATTCCATATGGAAAGGAATAATTACTATAGGGTTTATGTTTTAGAGTAACTTTTAAGTGTGATTAAATTAAATTTATATAGAAAGTTGAATATTTTTTTCTCTTAGGGTATGCAACCTCTTGTGATGTTTTTGTATTAAGCCTTAATTAAGTCTATCCCTTAGGTTGAAGAACTATACCTGAACATAACCTTAATGTTCTAGTAGTGGTTGACATAAATAAATATATATCTTCCTGAGTCATTCAATTTTGATCTGGTTTTATGGGTTTTCAAACTAATTTTCAGAGTAACAAAAATTCTCCTGAGGCTACTTTCATTGTTTTTTCTATGTAGAAAAGAATATAGTGAATAATAGTGCTGTCTTTAAGGGCAAATTTTCTTGTTTCAAATCCCTGTTCTACCACTTACTAGCGATATGACCATGGAAAAAGTACTTAATCTTTCTATGCTTAGTTTCCTAATCTGTAATTGGAGGCCATAGCATTTCTTGTATACATCTATGGCTCAAGTTAAATGAGGTAACACATGGAGAGTGCTGAGAACAGTGCCTAATTTTATATAGCGATGATTCACTATTAGTTTCAAAATATTTAACAGTGCATGTTATGACAAAATTTCAAAGATTTTTGTAGCAGAGCATATTATGGAAAGGCCATCTCTGCTAACTCCAGCAATGAGTTAACAGATGCCCAATGGTATAACTGTATGCAAGATTCCAGGAGTTGAGTATTGCCATCCTGTGTACATAGGAGTCAAGTTCTTTAGTGCAAAATTAAATGCTTTTTGGATGACTTTATGTTGTCCTTTTAGATCACACATAAATATCAGCATGTATACTGGTATGGATCATATGGACTATACTAAATTCATAAAATGTTTGGAAATCTAATGGAGATTTTTAAAATCAATGGGAAATATTCAAACCACACTTTGGTTTCTCCATTTATAAAGATGGAGTCAATGGCTAATGCACAGAATTATGAGGATTTAATAGTAAAGGATAAGCATATCTGACATATAGTTTGTCCCTAGTAGGTAATTATTTTAGTCAGCTTTTTTTGTTGCTGTGAACATAAGTCCCCAAAAGAACAATTTTAAAGGAGAAAAAGTTTATGGGTGCTCACAGTTTCAGAGGTCTCAGTCCAAGATTGACCAACTCTATTTTTCTGGGCCCAAGGTGAAGCAGAATACCACAGTGGAAGAGTGTGGAGGAGGAAAGCAGCTCAGGATATGGTAACAGTGACAAGCAGAGTGCTCAGTTCATCAAGGATAAAATATATATCCCAAAGGCATGACTTCCATAAACTACCTCCTCCAGCCATACCCTACCTGCCTTGAGTTACCACCCAGTTAATTCCTATCAGGGTATTAATCTACTGATTTCATTATAACTCACTTTATCTAATTGTTTCACCTTTGAACCTTCTTTCATTGTCTCTCACAGGAGCTTTTGGGAGGCATCTCACATTTAAGTCATAACAGATAGTATCCCCTTTCTCTGAATCAGTCAACACATTGTAAAAACCTGGAATTCATTCAAACATAAAACAGTAAGGACAATGCCATGAAGAAAAAAAAGAAAGAAAGAAGAGCTGAATCTTTCTTATAACCACAGTGGACCGGGATTGCCTAGCCCTTGTGGGTGTTGACCTCAATTAGGAGAGGGGACTGGGAGGTAGAAGGAAATGATGCTTTCAGTATCTTTAAGAACCTCTCTCTGATTATACCCCATAGGCTGTTTTGTTTGGCACTTGGTTTTTAAAAATGTATCAAAGGCTAGTTGCTGGTATTTATAAATTAGGAGACTTACCCTAAAATCAGAATCTTTGGTTTTGCTAGAAAAATCCTATCTGCTTTTGCTCGGCCTCCCACATGATATGAAGGGACTGTAGTAGAAAAGCTGCCACCTCTTCAGAATGATCACGTTTTCTTATTGGCCCTTGAAGACCTTAAGTTTTGACACCTACTTTCCATAATGAGAAATCTTCCTCCTTTTGGGTAAATTGATAACATTTTGATAGTGAAGATTATTTTGCATCTTTTAAATAGAAGTACTATGAAAAAAAAATCAGATATCAGTTTTGTGTATCTTTCTCTCCCCAAATCTACTTACCATAAGACCTCAAAAAAATAAATAAATAAATAAAAATCAGCAGTACTATCTATAATCAAAGGGTAGTGACAGTACATTTAGAAGTGCATATAGCAGGAATGTCAATGAAAACCAGGTCAGGTTTGCAATTAGTATATTCATGTACTAGTGATAATTAGCAGTTCCTTCAATGAAAGCTTCATATTTTACATGATTTTTTTTATTGCTTTCATTTCAGAGTTTTATTGAGAATTAGCTGAATTTTATGACTTTGGTTGGTGTGAAAGGAATTGTAGGTGACAGTATTATTAACAAACAGAATGAGAATTGTATGCTTTTGAAAGATGTGAATTAACATGTTCAAAAGTTTTAATGCCTCAATGCACATAAAAATATTTTGTCTGTGGGGACTATCCAGGTTTTCTACTTAGAGTAACTTTACCTTTTCAGTGCTTGTGTCTTCTTAGCCATTGATTATACTACAAATAGAAGGTGAGTATGAGTCTTGCATATGACTATGTAAGATTAGTAAAATATTCAGAAGTCTAGATTTTGTGAGTAATTACCAATTATTTTGAAATTCTTGTTTTTGCTTAATTTCTTTTTTCTAGTGTTGTATGTGTTGGTGGAGATGGATCCGCTAGTGAAGTAGTCAATGCTTTGCTTCTCAGAGCCCAGAAGAGTGCTGGGATAGAAACAGACCAAATCCTAACTCCTGTCAGAGCACAGCTTCCACTCGGTTTAATACCAGCAGGCAAGTGGGTGGCCATGTATATGTTAAATTGACTCTCCTCCATCATTCCCTTTCCTACTTCCTAACCTAGTCAGTATGTATAAACCTTGAGTCTGAAAGACCCAAGATTGACTTCTGGCATCTCCACCAGCAAATGTGAGTCTTTGAACAATGCAATCTCTTTGAGCCTAGTTTTTCTATCTATAAAGTGGGGATAACTCATAATATTTACTTCATTACAGATTTGTTGTAGTACTAAATAAGATGGCATGTACTATGGGTTAAAAACATAGTTTAAACAATCAATAGATGAAATTAATATATTCTGCCTTCCATAGACAAGTCTAATGGTTACGTAGTACTAGATAGGAAGTTTCAAAATGGGACACCCATCAGTCAAATTGTTTTTAATTTCATACAAGGTAAAATGTGGAACTCGTGCAATTGAACTATAACCAGAAAACCTTGAATATCCAAAGATTCCTTCCAACTAGAAGGAGGATCCAAGCCCTAGTGGGTGAGCTCCATCAAGGCCAGACTGGTTATCTTTCCATCCACTACCATATTTCCAATGCCTGGAAGAGAATATAACACAGTGCAGGATAGTTTCTCAAGTGAATGAATATAAAGATGACTTTCTAGAGCAAATAGCAATTGAATCAGGCCTTAAAGTGGGTAGGCTCTATGGCCTAAAAAGATCAGTAAGCTATTTATTTTTTTAGCTACAAAAAATAATAACAGCAAAACCCAGAAGTGCTTATGAAATGGAAAACAGGCCATTGGATGGGAGATAATAGTATCAAAATGGGCCAGACTGAAGCCACAGGGTCTGAATTGTATTTAAGAAGTAGTAGGGAACAATGGGTTGCTCCAGATCAAGGGAGCAACCTGATGGAGTTTGTTCTAGGAGAATTCATTTTGTAGCAAGACTTGGAATCATTACTGGAAGTGGGCATGAGGAGGTGGAAGCCAGGGAGAACTGCTAGAGCCAAACCCTGGTCCAGAAAAGAAAACACTTTCTGCAAGCTTCACCCTAAATTATTATTTAAATAAACAACAATGAAGGAAATTGATTTTTTTTCATTCTTAAAACATCATGCCCTGTTTTTAAAAGGAGGAAAAATGTTTTCATTCTGAAAATAATGCACATGGTTAGAAGAAAATTTATTCTATTGATAGCCATGACTTTTAGAATATTTAATATTGCTGCTAAATTGACCAAGGACCAAAGATGGCCAAATGTCTTTTGAGAGTATAAAATCATAAAAACAAGAATGTAAAAATGGAGATTATTAGGATAAATTATGATATAATTGTAAGTTATATGTAGAAAAATCTATAATGGTCCATAAGTGGAAGATAACAAATAACCTCAATTCAAAGGAGGAAAAAGATGAATTATTTGGGGATTTTTTAAATGTCTTTTGTTGTTGTTATCATTTTTGTAGTTCTGAATGCAGTTAGTGTAACCCTTCCAACATGTCCCTCCATGCAAAATGGATGTGTTTAGTAAGTCACTGTTTTTCTTCATTAGAGCCTAAATTCCTGAGGTCATGAGCTGCCATGCATCAAAAGTGGAAAAGGGTGTCCCAAGAAGTATGCATTTGGCATAAAGTGGGCACTTAGCTACGCTAGCTATGCTTATGTTTTTAATATGCAACTATGATTTAATAAAGAAATAGCATTACATTTTTATAATTTTAAAGCAAATTTCTAATTTCAAAAATAAACTGTATTCAGTGGGTATCTGTGGAAACACCATTGTAATGCTTTTTGTTTAAAAGATGACAGCATGCTGCCAAAATTCTGGTTGTTGGATAGGAGTTCCAGCTTACTAATTCCATCTAATAGGAGGAGAAAGTCATGTGTGGGCTGTATTTAATATGAGGACGCTATGCCTAGTCAGGGCTTTTGATAGAGAATGGAAACAAGAGCTAGGCAGGAAGTTTCCAAGCTGAACATGAGGAGACAGTCTGCCTTTGAAGCCATTTGCCTCCTGGAGAGAGACACCCAGAGGGAGAGTGTTTAGTAAATTACTCCACTGAGCCAACAGACTAAGCCGCTGAATTATGGTCAGACTCAAATGGATCAGATGTGGGGAAGCCTGTATTTGAACTGCTGGCCATTAGGAATGGTGTTTGTTGCTATGGGAACTGGTGCTAAGGAACTATACAGAGAGATTCCCATTAAAACTGGGGAGGGGGGTGGATAGAGGAAAAAGCCTGAGAGGACATAAAAATAAAAAAGCAATCCAGTTGTTGTAAAACAAGGCTCAATCCACATACTGATGGCTGTGAACCATATATTCCTATAGAGTTTGCATAAATAAATTCATGCTTTCCAATTAATTTGAGGAGAATAAAATATTGCCGAGGGACTGTTAATTTCTATGATATTTCAGGCAAAGAACCAAAGTGTAGGTGCTGTTTTCATGAGAATTTTAGATATGCTTGACTAGGAAGTCATTACATCACATTTATCTGTTTGGATGTGGGAGACATTAACAGCCTTATGAATATTCATGATGTCTGGTTAATTAAGTTAATTGTTCTGCAGAAGTGCTTGCACTTCCAAGGACAATTTTTTTTTCTCTTTTCTTTTCCTTTTTTTCCCCCCCCCCCCCCCAAACCTCTGTAGTGTCTGCCTGGTAAACATCTATCTTGCTTTACGTGAACTGCTACTTCTGTCCTTACACTTTGTATTTGGCACATTTTAGCAGGTCTGGGGAGAGGGAGGGTGGGCAAAGTTGCTGGTAGTGTTAAGAAAAATAACTCTTTAGGCTAATTAAAATGTTTACCTTAAGGTAGAACATTTATAGCTTTTGTGAGAATGTTAAAATTACACCGTTGTTATTTATGTGAGCAGCATGTTCTTTTGGCATGTAGACATCTTTTCAAATAGAGTACAATTTTCTGAAACAAAATGTGATCTTTCAGGTTTTTCAAACAAAAATCTAAAAGCCTCTATAATTTTGGAGTTTTACATTTACTTTCTCGTGAACTTTTCTTTTTTCTTCAGAATGTTAAAAAACACCCCATTCAAAGATCAAGGTATGCACTAATGAGTAGGTGACCTAAATAATTTTCTGGTTTCTGGTCATGCCTAGTATCTGCTAAATTCTACAGAATTAGGAAGAAGTTGCAATGTTGCAAAGTCTGAGAGGACACAAAAATAAAATCCATCTCTAGCATTCTGAAATGATTTGTGTTTGGGCAAACTCAGCATTCTTCAAACTCACAGGGAATAAATAGTATTTTCTTGAGTCATGATATGTGTCATTCTCTATTGCACATGACAACATTTCATTGTTTTTAAATGGCCTTTCTAGAGGAATGCTTTTATGGTTTACTCCTAATCAACCGTGGCAATGGAGGAAATGTATTAAGTGGAGTACTATAATCCATCGATAATCCTAAATATTTCTAATTACATGGCTTCCTCCAAATTCTTTACCATAATTCTGATTGGGAAGAAAAGATTGATTAGTTTCTTCTTTATTTTTCTTTTTCATTCCAGATGAATTAGCAATTAGATGACCAAAAGGCAAGCTGTAGAAGGTCAAAAGTCATTGGAAAGGCCTAGATTAAAATCCATAGAGTAACGGGTTTCTAACCACTTATTCTCAAACCTGGAGTGTGTATAAGTCACTTGAAGAGTGCAGGCACACATGAACACCCATGCTACATGCCTTGGAGGTGAAACAGGAATTTGCATTTTTAACAAGCTCCCAGGTAATCTTAATACTGCACATAGACCACACGTTCAATCCATACCTCAAGACACTATGCACACAAATCACCTGAGGATCTTAAAATCTTCTGTCTCTGATTCAGTATGCCTGGAGTGCGGCCCAAGGGTCAATATTTTTTTAAATTAATTTGTTTCCATTAATAACTGTCTCAAACTACTTATCTTCATCTACTTTTAAATTGACATAAAATTGTATATATTTAACAAGTACAACATGATATTTTGCAATGTGTATTCATAGTAGAATGGCTAAATTGAGACAATTAACATATGCATTACCTCACATACTTATTTTGGGAAAACACTTCAACTCTACACCCAGCAATTTTCCAGTATGTAACACATTCTTAACTATAGTCACCATTTTGTACAATAGATCTCTTGCACTTAATCTTCCTAACTTAAATTTTTCCTCATCTGACAAATATGTCTTTGAGCTTCCCTTCCTCCAGGCCTTGGTACTGTGAACTCTGTGCTTCTGTGAGTTCTTTATTTTTTTTTAATTTATTTTTTGTTTCAAGATCCCACATATAAGTGAGATCAGGCAGCATTTGTCTCTCTGTGGCTCTTATTTCACTAGAACATCATCTTCCAAGTTTAACTATGTTGTCACAAAATATGTAATTTCCTTCTTTTTTTTAAAAGTATTTTTATTAAATTATTTATTCTAATTTGTTATTACATGATGGCAGAATGCAATTCATTTTATATTACACATATAGAGTACATTTTTTCAAGTCACTGGTTATATACAAAGTATTTTCACACCATTCATGTCTTCATACATGTACTTGGAGTAATGATGTCTAACTCATTCCACCCTTTATCCTACTCCCATATCCCTTCCCTCCCCTTTGCTCTATATAAAGTTCCTCCATTTCTCCCATGCTCCTCACCATTGCCATTATGAGTCAGCATCCTCATATCAAAGAAAACATTCAGCCTTTGGTTTTTGGGGATTGGCTTACATCACTTAGCATTATGTTCTCCCACTCCATCCATTTACCTGCAAATGCCATGATTTTATTCTCTTTTAATGCTGAGTAATATTTCATTGTGTATATATATCAAAGTTTCCCTATCCATTCATCTACTGAAGAGTATCTGGGTTGGTTCCACAATTTAGCTACTGTGAATTGTGCTGCTTGTAAACATTGAGGTGGCTGTGTCCCTGTAGTATGCTATTTTTAAGTCCTTTGTGTAAACCGAGGAATGTAAACTGAGGAGTGAGATAGGTGGGTCAATGGTGGTTCTATTCCAAGTTTTCCAAG